ATAATTTGCATCATTAAAAGATTCTATGACTTATCTCCATAGATTACCTAATAGCGATTATTAGAACTCTTGCAGAGTAAAGAAATCAGAAATGTTCTTGGATAAGCTTGAGAACATTTTTTCAATATAAATATAAATAATAATTGCAGGATACGAAGGGCTACAAACACTCTTAAATTCTCTGAACCATTTGATAATGATAGAATAGCACTTATCAGTAATAAACTGACTAACATTATCATTGACAACACTTCAGCAATATGTACACCTCAATAGCTATAAAACTATAGATTACCAAGAAAACTGAATAAAAACAGTGCAAGTTAAACATTTGATTCTATACAATCGAGAGAATTATAATAAAAACAGCATTTGGAATGGAATAGTTCTGAATTTCGATACATTTGATTTATTTTTTCGAACTCCTCTAAAGTTTATCGAGTTTTTCATGTCATAACACTAATATCAATCTTCCAAGGATTAAAAAAAAAAAAAAAATTCATTATGAAAGTTCAGCGCAGTCAGACCTAAACACTAATCCACTCCTTCTTTACTTCAGAACATTACATATATTTTAGCTTCGTAAGATTAAATAGATCAACCTACTTTATCACTCACAATATCTATCCTGATCTCTCTAACAGAGTAATAAACTTTATAGGACGGAAGAAATGTCTTCCGTCCTATAATGTCCTCATACTCCTCTTCCTCTTTCCCTCTTTGTTCTGATCATCAAGAATGACATATTTCTTTTAAATCCTAAATTAAAAGAAAAAATTTTTTTCTCCTACCAATGGTAACTTGCTTGCAATTTAACGGCGAGGTCTCTAGGCAAATGAATTATATATCTGAGAACAGAAACAAACAAAAAAATGTCCATTTAATAGCTTTTGTCGATGCATATCTTATTGCAAATTTCAAATGCTTATTTTCAAATTACAAAAAAAAGTCCCATGCGATATCAATAGAATGTCAACGTTAGTGTACCACGTTCGTCCTCGACCTTCTTTACTAAGGAAAAAAATACGATTATTTACACTTAGAAAATAGGTCTACTTATACTTAAACATATTCTGCATAGGTACGACATTTCTGCTTTTCCGTGTTTGCTGATAAAAGTTTAAAAAAAAGAAACTGTTTTCGAAATAAAAAATGAAGGATATGAAGTGATTTCTTGATTTTATTTATCAAAATTACATGGATCAAAAACAAGACACTTTCTAGCGTATCATAAAATCCACCAACACGGATAATACATTATTAATGGTGAAAATGTAGTCCACTGCTTTGTTAAATCAGCTATTTTCTGATGCTTCATATTTCAAGATATCTTAAAGATATTCTCTTCATTTTTTTCAACACATTAGTTTGTCAGTGCTACACGTACGTTCATTCCATTCAATATTTAATCATATTCAAGTGAACCAAATGAATCATAATATCGTCGAAATAAATTTTTCATAAAAAATTCACACAGTTAGCTATTTTCCTTTCGTTTTCTAATTTGATGTGAAAGTAGAATGAATCTTATCTTGATATATAAGCAACAATCATTATTGGAAAGAAGAAAAACCCTTTCTTTTCATTTCCCTTTCAGTCTCTTCCGTAAACTTTAATAGAATGCTATAGATACAAAAAAAGACTTATTCACATATTACCTTATGCTTTCACGAGCTTCATAAATCAAATCAATTTATGGAGCACTTCAAAAAAGAAAGAAAACACCTGCCTGTTATTAAGTGAAACAGGATAAAAGATGGTACCTTTTTCCATAATGATAATTTATAGTTATTCAATTTACATTTTTTTTTGTGTCCAAAACTGAATCAGAAAGAGCGCTGAAGGTAGAATAATATCTAGACAAATGGGAAGAATGAAATAAGATGAACAAGCTTATAAGTAAAAAGAATTTTATCTCATGGGTATCACCTCATCTCATCTATAATAACATTTCTTTATTTTAATTGATTATATTTTTTTCGAAAAATATAACTGCAATGATGGCGCAATTTCATGAAAGCTAAATGAATTTTAGGTAGAAGACTATCTAGAAATAACCAACAGTATCATCACTATTATTTCATGATGACTTTAATACTTCTTGCAGAAATGTCATGTCATTTCAATTTGACCTCTCCCTAGCATCAGTTCTCATCCTATGCATGGTCCTTCATTATAAGTAAGCTGTACAGCGGAGATAATCTTCGACAAAAATAAAGAAAGTTGACATCTATCACATACTTTTATCTCTTATGACTTAGAAAAAAGGAAATTTGAGATTATTATCCAACCTGACTTCCAGCAATGCTCAAGCCTATCCCTAATAAGCCTGTCATTTTTATAACAAAAGGACATACTAAGAAAGACCAGTCATTGGTTGCAAGCGGAAATGTCCGTTTCACACTACCTTTTATCTAAAATTATCCTTCTGCATTGTCATTAGGGTAAACTAATGAAAAATGTTCCGACATAGACGAAAAAAAAAACATATCCATTGAAAGGAAAGAACTACAGAAAAAGCCTTTTAAGTGCAGCATACAAAAAAAGGCCCGAATAAGACCACCAACGAAGATACATGCATATCTATATGTGTATGTGTGCGTGTATATATATATATATGTGTGTGTGTGTGTGTCTTCTATCTATCTGTTTGTCACTTTGAAAGTTTCATCAATGTTCAAAAAGTTGGATAGGGTAAAGTATCATTTCATTTTACTTTAAACTGGAAATTTTTTTATTAGAAGATTTTGCTCTGCAACTTCAGCGCATTTTTTTGCGCTTCTTTGAAGAAAATGAAAGTGGAAGATATACTGAAGGAAGAAAGAGTGCCATCTTTTGGACTAAGAAGAGAAATAGCAAAGAATTTATTGCAAAGCTATCTTTCCATAAGGAATATTGATTAATCTGATAATTAAAAATATTAAAAGTACTGTGAATAAGAAAAGCGTATATGAGACATATTACCGGGAATGAATGAATGCTTCAAACATAGCAATTTAAAAAGGGAAAAAGCTATAACTCGAATCAGAATAGTCAGTAAACAATTAGGCAAGTGAACAGTATGGAAATAAGAAAGAAGCTATAATAATTCCAAACAAGCATGAAATTACGATTTTTTTCATAACATGAAAAAAGCTGATAAATTAATTAAAAGGGAATTACTCTTCTTTTTTGCTAACCCATATTCACTACCAATTATCTATAATTATGGATGATAAGTAATTACTGACAGTAGGTAAAACAAAGTAAATCAATGCAGAAGTCAGTATAAATAACTAAGCAATTATGAGTAGAAGGCAGAATATATGTTTTATAAGTTTGATGGAAAGGAAGATATAAGATTGCTTTAAGTAAGGTGAGAGATAGTGCGATTGTAATTCTCAGGTGTGGAAGAATGCTGATGGTATGATATGCAACGGTCTCATTTCATTCCCGAAATTTAGGGTATGGCATCGGGCCAAATTATCCAAAGATTATCGAGATGATCGAATTATGCGCAGTCTTGGCTAGGAAATTTTAATGGCCTCACTTAAAAGGTAAGGACAAAGTGAAGTTGATAGCAACGGAGCCAGCAATCAAGACTGAGTGGAAAGATTGCGGTGAGGCAAGGTAAGGGTCGTGGAAATAGAGAATTTGAAATGTCAATCGGGCAAAATATGCCGCACGCGATTAGCCACGCATCTCTTTCCTCCCTCTCTCTCTTACCCTCTCTTTAGCACTCTAGACAATGCAATAATCCGAAATAGCATTTAGCTAAACGTCAGAGAGTCTGAAAAACAAGAGAACACAGATGGCAAGACTAGAAGGGAAATACAGAAACACGATGTGACATGTGGAGCGTACATAATATGCCCCACCCTCATCCACTCGATTCATCTAGAGTCGAGCTCTCACAACATTGTCTCACATATTTGCTTTTCTTCTATTTCTTGTAGATTTCTTTTTAATACCTTACTCCCTTCATGAATCTTAAGAATCTCAATTTTCTGTACATTTTCCACTATTGCTAATTGTATGAATTGTCGGACCCTCCTCAATTACCATACACTTTTCGTGTGCTCTTCATAACTGCAGTGTTGTCTGCTCTATGTACAACCAAAATAACTGTACGTGTATATGTGCTGGTAGTGTTAGATTCAGGAAACTGTTAGGAGGGAAGTATTCCGGACGAAGTTCATCACGGATTAAGCGGAAAGGGCATTTCCTATCCTTCACGGCGATACGCCTAAAAACGAGTGAATGCGCGACGCAAATTCGTGCAGCGAGACAACAATACGTTTGCAGAAAGCATAAGCGTAGGGAAGAAAAGATGGAATTTGCTAAATGACGAAAGTGATTAGATTCATTTAGATGGCAACTTACTTGGCCTGAAGTAATGATCGGGTGGAAAGATTGCGGTGAGGCAAGTAAAAATAGAGGATTTGAAATGTCAAATTCGAATGATTCCTCAAAATAAATGATCATAAATTTCTCTTATCTTTTTAATTTGTATTATATTTCCCACTTCAAACTGCCTATGTCATTCATTCAAGCTTGATAAATGTTACTTTTATCACTCGAGACAACACAAAAAAAAAAAAAACAAAGAATAGATAAAATGATAGGAATTAGATATTTTCGAGAAATACTTATTCCATTCCGATTACTTCCCAGTCATACAAATGACTAAATAATTTTATGTCAAATCATTTTAGCCATAAGTCTCAGAGTTACACATACTGTCTCAAAGAATGCTGCTAGTTGTCAGTGCAAGAAATTGCTAGCTAAGAAAGTTGACAAAAAAGGAAATCAAGTAGAAAACGGCGACTTTTCCAGCTTCAACCTGTGATATACGCAGACGACACCGGTCTCCTCTCTTCTCCTTTCTCATCCTAACCGACTCTTTCCTCTCATATCTTTCCTTCGGTACATCAAATCCAACCTGTGTCATCTCATGAAACGAAACGTTCAGTCAGTCACTCATTCACTCACTTAGTCAATCAATCAGTCAATTTGCGCATTCATGCGGCAATAACTGCTATTACTGCAACAGCAACTGCTACTGCATTGCTCTGCAATTTCAAGAAAAAAAAAAACGAATTTAGCAACTGCTGAATGCTGCTAAATCTGTACTGACAAATGTCGCTGTCTTTTTCATTTTTTTTCTTTTTCATTTTGCCTTCCTTTTTTTATTGCAAAATTATAATAGGAAAAGAAAGAAAGTATATGAGAATTTCGATTATAATTTATAATTATCACTTGTGGTACAATATTTTAAAGTTACCTGAATATTTCTTTCATTATCGCATAGGGTAGGCGGCGATGTCAAGAGAGCCTTTTCATGCATATATGTCGATTGAAGCAAAGCTTCGAGCAATTCAAATCAAAAACGACACTTCGCATTGGCAAGGTAACGGAACCGCTAGCATTTTCATCTACCAAATTAATCGATGGGCTTTCGCATATCGGCTCGGGAAGGAACATATACCTACTGCGTAATCCTTGACATCCTCAACGTTCCCGGGTTACAGTTACCCTTAGATGATAATAATAGTTTGTTATAGCTTCGTTGTTACTTCCATCTGAAACAGATGTATGGCGAAATATCTTGTCTCCAAGGACTTAATTGTATACGAAATGCTTGAAATAATAATTTGAAAAAATTTTAATTGGAAGATATTTGCATAAAATATTGGCTTATTTGCAAATTTTGATCCCTTCTTAACGGTTATGTATAAAGAAGAAATGCTAAAAGTTGCAGAAGTTGGACGCTTGAAATTCTGAAGTCTTTCTCTGTGATGGTCGTTTTCAGTCTGATTTAATTTCTGATAAAAACAACATTGTACTGAAAAGTCAACAAAACTTTTGTTTTTTGCAACTTTTTAACGAAAAAAAAAAGAATGATTTGCGATTTCTTTTCGTGCATTTTTATGGATTTAATAGTTTTGTAAAATGAAATGTAATCATACAGAATCTAACAATGAACATGCTTGCATGGATGAGTTTTTTCAATTAGTCATTCTAAAATTATTTTATCATTCGTCAGAATGATAAAAGAGAAAGCATTTTTAAAATGTAGTAAAACAGAAAAAGATAGTAATGATAATATAATGATAGAAATTGAAAATGATATTGGTATTGTTCTAACTAATATTCTAATAATGGTAGGAATGGAAATATGGGAGATAAGGACATGATATTAACGGTGATGACAGTGATGGTGATAATGTGATATGGTGATAATGATGGTGACAATGATGGTTGTGGTGATGATTATAGGTGTGATGAAGAAATGCAAAAAAGGAAGGGAAACTTACAGAAATTTTCTAGGTAAAAAACGAGGACAGGAGAGATTTTTTGTCCTCCTCGACATTTCGATTCTGTATTCGAGATGCAATTATCCATCTTGACGACTATAATTCTAAATAAGGGAGGGGGACATACATTTATATACATATATATATCTATCTATGCATGTGTGTGTGTGCAATGTGCATGTAAAGAGAAGCGATTTTAAATTCATTCCATTTTGAATTCATTTCCTTCTTCCCAGCACATTGATGTTGAAAGGAATTTTCACGTAATGAATCGACTTTTCGAAGTGTTTGAAATTTCGCATCCTCGCTTGAATCCAATGTACATATTTTTTTTATTTTCAGCATGAACGAGGAATGTCAAAATGCAACAGTGAAAAGAGAATCTGAACCACTGACACTTAAATGATCGCCAAGTTTACTGATAGAAACAGTTTGATAATTAATTTCATATGGTTCAAAAAATTCTGCGATGACTATTTTTAACATGTAATTGAACTAACACAAAGAGATGAATCCTAGAAAAAGTCTAAATAAGGCGAATATTGTACTCAATGATTATTTGTTTCATAATTTCTCACAAAAAAGAATTAATAAACTAAATTGTGATCAATTAATGAATACAAAGTCGAACAATTTGAAAGGAATTTAGCGATATAAAATATAACTTCATTGAATCATTTATTCGACTGCAACAATTTTTCGGTTACCCAAACAAATCTTTAATAAATATTCATTAAGATGCTTTGCAGGGAAAATGTTGCAAAAATACATTAGTAGAAAACCTAGCTTATTGTGTAAAAGAGATATAGGTAAAAATATTGGTGAAATTCAATAAATCAATATCATTCAGACATTTTCGTTTTTTATACATTGTAAGAGAGAATCTGCTATCCCGCTATCTCGATAATGTGTCATTTTCCGCTTCCCAATATTGGAATTCTGCATGTGTTGAAAATAAATAACTCAGTCTTTCGTAGGATAAAAGCAACAGGAACTAAAACCAAATTTATCCATTGAAATATAGCAGGAAAGTTTTTTTTCCAATACTTTAAAATTTTCTTTTTCTTCTTGTCTATGATTCAAAATGCACACAGAAACGGAGAAATTTTATGGAATGAATGAATTGGAAGGCATTATATCAACTTCAGACTTGTTGTGCGTCAGAATGACAACAACATTATTCACTGCCTTTCTTGTGTAAGCAGCAATTTTGCATTTTACATACTACGAGCGCATATTTCCACCAAGTACGAAGTGCGAAGTGCTGATAGGAATGATGATGTTAACGACAAAGCATTGAATTTGGTTGTAATTCTGGCGATGACGACAAGATGGCATACTCATGAAAGTGTTTTAATATCTTCCATCTTTTTCTTTATTCTATTTACTTTTCATTTTACTGCATTGATCATTTTATCATAACTGTTCTTCTCTAAACTATCCTTATCATACTGTTTTTCCTTTCTCCCTCCTTTTTTTACATTATTGCCTACGTGAGACATAGGCGCCGATTATTATGTGTCACTAATCTACAATGACAAACATAAAGCATATCTGCACCAGTAAACAACCAGGTAGAAATAAAAAAAAAAGAAATATTATAAAGGAAGTGCTTATTTGATAACGATGACAATATGAGAACAACGAGAATGATAATGAGGATGTTAATGCTAAGTTTGGAAATTTAGCTATGACTGTAGCAAATATTGTGCACTTTTTTTGGCACATCAAAGAATTGCAAAATATTTCAGCCCCAGAAAACTTTCTTTTTTTGATAAATTAATCTACAAATTTTTTAATTTATATTTTTTAATCTCGCTCTTGTTATCATATTGAAAATTATAGATTATTTTTCCCTAATTAAAAATTATTTCTGCTTAGGTTTTTTTCACCTCATAACTTTTGATTATTGACACTAATTAATTCTAATCAAGGAAACGTCCCTACATGTAATTTTTATGGAATATTTTACAGAACAAAAAAATGATAAGTTCAGAAAGTGATGATTAGGATGCAAATGATTTATTGAAAACGATGGTAAAAAAACATGAAGCAAATGGTTGGATGAATGAATAGATGAATAGATAAATGGCTTGACTATGGGAAGAGGACTACAATTTTCCATAATTTATTGTAAATTATCGATGAATGGACGCATAATCACTAACGATCCATTCCTCTTCCTCTCTTTGTTCCATTCTTAAAGTTTTTTTCTTCTGATTTTTTCTTAGATTTACTTTTGAAAATTTTATTTTTTTCAGAAAAGAAATTAAACATAAAACAGAAATTTCACGGCTTAATATTTAAATATCAACAGCCCAAATTAAAATCAGACTATTTTGCATGAATTTTATCATAAAAACCAAACTATTTTGCTGAATTTTATAATAAATGTAAAGTGACTGCTGCGTACAAGTACAAATATATACGCGCGCATGCATAAATGCATGTCATAAGCTTACAATATGGAAACTTGTATGAATAAAACACTTAAAGTTGTATTGTGCAAACACTGTTGAACATTAACCCATTTTAGATTTCACCATTAACCCACTTTAAGTTCTTTTACAATGAATTATGAGTTTTATTTTGCTAGTTTCGATCCTCAAATTTCAAAGAAACTTTGCCCTTCAATTCGCTTTCAATATCCAAAAGTAATGAAATTTGGATCAAAATTTCCTAGAAATTGCAGTATTGTAACATCCTATTGCAATGCAAGTGTTTAGTACTTTAAAAATACTCATAAGCAATTATAAATGTTCCAATTTTCCAATTCATTTAATACTATCATTCTTCGACTTCGCTCTTTATTAGTCGTTAAGTGAGTTTAAATTCAAACGATTTGAGTTATCAAACTCAAATAACTTATGGTATTATTCTTTTTTCCAGAAATTTTTAGTTAACATCAAAATTGAAAGCCACGTCAGTAATGAAGCGTTTTGTGAAATTCATGCGCAAATGTAAAATTCAATAAAAATACTGCAAAATGTGTTAAAGTAATACTAACAGTACCTGACTGTTGGTGTGTCCGATTTATATTCTTTACTTTTCTTAAGTTCTATACTACATTTTTAGAGATTGACAGAATGGCTCACTGATACCACTCACTGATAGACAACATTCGCTGCTGTTTATCAGTTGATTTTGCAATACGGTGCCATTTTCATTTCTTATTTTATAAGAAATGAAAATGGCACCGTCCGTTCCTTTACAACTAACTTTCAGAACTTTTGATAATTTTGAAGAACTTACTTCCAACACGTTTACTTATAAGGCATAATTAGCAGTTGCTGTCAACAAATATACATCATTCACCACCAGTAAGTATCACAAAAGATGTAGGATGAACTTTTTGAAGATAAGCAAAGTTAGCGAGTAGTAATTAAGTCTAACACTGTAAGCATTTATCAAGTAATCAACCGAAACATATTGAAATGAATGAGATATTGTCGATTAGAAGGGAAGAATGGACGGTGTCACAAATACCTCTCAGTTAATTAATGTGAATTTGCTAATTACATTGCATTCTTTGTTTCGTTATTAATGGATGAAAGAGAATAAGGTTAAGTCGATGATAATTATCGAATGACCAAATCACAAGGAACGATTAATTAGATAAGTAAAACATTAATAAAATAAAAGATATATTAAAGGATATGTTTATTTGAAAGTAACAAAACAAAAAAGGATTAAAATAGAGGGGAAAGCAATGATGAAAGATGAAAGGAGAAAGAGAGAGAGAGAGAGAGAGAGAGAGAGAGAGAGGATGAAACTGAAATTTTTTTTACTGCTAGTTCCGTCGAGGTGCACTTAGCATAATTATTATTTATGCACTGAAATGTATACTCAGAATATGAAACGTATATCCGAATTTAAATCATACATGTTGCTGTTACTTTCTGTGTCGATGAATGAAGAACACTAATAATGCTGCCATTGTTATTCTCAATTAGAAATAGCCAAAGATTGTTGATGAATGCTTTCAATAAGTTTCATTTGTTTCGCTGACCTTAAAATAAACCAAATGATAATTGAAAATTAGTGCAATACAAATAAAAACGCGACACGAGAAAAAAAAAAAAAAAAACGATTATTTTCAAATGTTTTAGTGGAAACTAAATAATCCAAATTTTAAATCATGGTAAAGTGATCATATGCTAATCGATA